TGACGCCGAGCTTGACGCCGAGCTTGACGCCGAGCTTGACGCCGAGCTGACCGTCAGCTGACTTGTGACAGGGACCAGCGGCGCTGCCGGTGCCGGGCGTGCCACCTGCGGGGCTGCCAGGCGTGCCGGGACGTCTACACCAACACCGCGGATTGGAAGCGGGACTCGTGCGTTCTGCAGGGGTGAGCCTACGACTAACCAGACGTCAGTGTGACTCCCCGAACGACCATACCACGCCGATGACGGGGATGCGGCCCTCTCCGCGGGGACGAGGTCAAGGTCGTGGTTGCTGACCGAGCTGACCGTACCGTACGACACTATCGTTAGACCTAGTCGTTCGTACAGAAACAGTGTATGATTCGCGGCCAGCAACCATGTCGTTGACGAGGGCAAACTAACAATATTATGCAATCTTTGAAGCAATTTGTTTTTCCAGTGTGTCGTTTGTTAAACCTGGCCGGCAAAGCCCCCTCTCTCACTTTTATTATTCCGAACCAACAAAAACCATAAAGTTGATGGCGCGCGATGCCGGCGCTGACCTCTGCAGCGGCTGCAGCTCGCGGCCCCCGCCGCCGCTCGGTGCGGCCGGTGGGCGTATGGGGGCGACGCCACGAGCAGAGGCACTGTGGCGTGGAGTTGTACCAAAGGTTAGGGCCACCTAGGCTACCTGCATCCAGGAAACCGTTTTCTTTGTGGTAACAAAATTTTCGTTGAATCGAAGCAAAATTTTCTTTGACTCAAACAAAATTTGTTTAATTTGACAAAACCGAACAAAACTTTGGTTTTTGTTTGTTTTTAATCTTTTGTTTCGTTAATCTGAACGAAAAAATTGACTTTGATATCTGGCACTAAAATGTTGTAGTATATAATGACACCTTTTCCCAAAAGAACGGTTTTCTGGGTTTTGTGCAGCTGGGAGCACGGCGGCCTGCAAGCGAGAATCCCCCCTCGGTCTCGGTTATGGTGGTGGATTCTCATTTCTCGGAAGCTAGCAGCAGCAGCAGCAACAGCAGCTGTGAGTGGTGTGGTAGCCCGCCTCGTTGGGTGATGGGTTGCCTACTGCTTTTGTGAGTTGGAGCGCAAGCACCTGGCGGCTCGGGCCACCGCCCGGCGCGGAGTAGCGCCACCGACCGCGGCGGGTGGGGTATGGACGAGCGGCGTCGGTACTCGGTGGAAGACAAGTGCTGCCCTCTACGACTTGGGGTCGGGGTACCAGCTAGGCACGGCCTTATTGTCAATCCGGGGCTAATCCGGGGGCTAATCGGAGCTATTCGAGTGGGTAATCCAGGGGGGGAGGGGGGCTCCCGCGGGGGCTTCGGGCGACAAGTGCAAGTGTTTTTCTCACTCATTCCTTCCGCGATAGAAGTGTTCGTGCTCACTGTCAGAGTGTTGATTCGAATATTTTTTTTCGATCGAAATGGATAATTTTAAGTCCATTACCATTTCTAAACGCAAAACATATATTGCCATGCGTGGCCTGATTCTACTTAATTAACCAAGTGATCGATGACTCAATTTTTTTTTAACGGGATGGGGGTACTGAGTACGCGGAGTTGTACACCTAGATTACTCTCACTGGGCTACTGTCGGAGTACACATTCTGTGAACACCCGTGGCATTGTCAGCCCGGAGCCCAGTAGGAGCACACACCAGGTCGTCGGCGCCCTCATTCGTGCTTAAACATCTAATCACACCAGTGATCGTTTTACCCGCGCCCCCTCCCCCCAATTTCATTTTGTCTTTTCAGCTGTACCGCGGAATGCAGAATGCTTTATTGAATCCTCCTGGACCCGTGCGGTGTTGTCTCTGTCGGCGGTATTTTCATTTTTTTTTCATCCAGCCAAGAATCCCCTCCAGGAATCTCTAATAATGAACCCGCCATCCCTTGGCCAGATGGACCGAGTGTTCGCGTGATTGTTACACCCCCCAGGCGAGGGTGCCTTGTGGTGGCGCCGGGGGGACCCGAGGGGACCCAAGTGTGTGAATGTTACTTGTAGGTGCGTGATGAACGGCATTCGTCGAGGGGGCAATAACTCCGGGAATCATGTGTACACCTGTCTGGGAATCATCAGGATAAAAATTGATCAAAATCAATAGAAATCGCTTAGAATAAGCGGGAAACTAGAGAAATAAGTACAAATCAGTCGAAATAAGCGTTTTATACCACTAAAACCCCCCGAAAAACCTATGTAATAACTATAAGCGGACGGGAATCACCGGGAATCAAGAATTTCGGGAATCATGTGTACACTTCAAAAGGGAGTTATTGCCCCCTCGGCATTCGTACACCTGAGGGCAAAAGTGTGTGCGTGCATTTTCGAATAAAAAATTCGCAGCTGCACTACTCTCTTACGCGTGCCACCGGGCGCGCATTCACACACCTACCTACAGGTGTGTGACATTCACACACTTGCGCGTGTGTGGGCGGAGCGTGCAGGCAAACTTGCATTAACACTTGTTTTGGTACCCCCCCCCCCCCCGGGGACCCGGCGTACAGCACAGCGGAACCTTCTGCGACACGCGTCCTCGTCGCTGTCCTCGTCCCTCGTCCTGACTCTGTGTGTCCTGTCGCAGGGAGCCCATGCTGCCCGTCGCGGACCTCAGTCGGCGCCCCAGCCGCCGTCGGTCGCAGGCCCTCGCAGGCGACAACAATAAGCGCAGCGTGCGGCGCGCCTGGACCATCTCGAGTAAGTGCCACTCACAAACATGAACTGTGCAAATTTTCATTTTAAAAAATCAACTTTCTTCTGCGATCTAGTAAGATAGTAACAGCTATCCAACTTTTTTAAGCTTCCAAAATTTCATCATTTTTTAAAAAATTTACTTTCTACGACATGTAAAGATTCAAATTGTTTGACATGTCACCTTTTCTGCACTTTTCAAAATATTGATTAATTTTTGCGTTTGTAAAGTAAAAAAGTAATTTTTAATAACAATCTTGGTTGGTATTAACGAAAGTGTGTGAATGTCGCACACTTGTAGGTTTGTGAATGCCCATTCGTACACTTCAGGGAATAAAGGTGCGAATTTTTCCTTTAAATTCACACACACTTGTCCCTTCATGTGAGCGAATTTTGTTTCACACGCCTACGAATGCGTAGCATTCACACAGTTGGGTTTCCGGTGTAATCCATGGAAACCTGCTTGTTTTATTTTGGGCGGGTAACTTATTGAATGTTCTCCTCCCTGTTTCCAGGTGGCTCCAGCCCGCGCTGGAGCGCGCCGCGGCGCGAGGCTCGCGAGTATGCCAGCCTGCCGCGCAACCGCTGCCCGCGGGACTACCCGAGCCTGAGCCGCGGGGGCGAGGTGCACACGGACAGCGGCGTGGGCACGCAGGACGAGGCGGACCAGCCCGAGCACCCCGACCAGCCCATGGACCTGGTGCGGACCATGCTGGAGAAGGCGCGGCAGCGCGAGGACGCCCTCAGGAGCGTGGCAACGGTCGCGCCGACCCCGGCGTCGTCTGCTGCCCCCGTCAGCCTCAGCCTGCTCGGCCTCGGTAAGCAAGCGCACGCCAAGCACCCCCCGGTGTCAATTCTCTGCCCCGCCCCCGCCCCCTCCCCCGACGGATTTAAAACATACCCCACACTTGCGTCAAAATGTGGAGTTTTTGTCTAATAATTTCTTTTACAACTCATCTGCTGCGAAATAAAGTAAGAAGTGTTCGCTATGAACAAGCAGTCGTTATAACCCGTTTTGAAGTGGAAGTTGAAGAAGTTGTGGTGGCCGATACTCACTTTGCGACGGCAGTCCGGGGCTGCTGGGCTACGGCGGTGGTCGCGTGACCTGGATTCTCAATAATTCGTTTTACGTTACCCGGGCGGAAGCTTATGGGGTACGACGCCGGTCTAGACGCCCCCGACCAGGCAGCTCTTGAGACACTAATTGATTCCACCGCAAAGCAAGCAAAACGCGAAAGACAAACCGCATCACCATACTGTACCGTGGACCGCGCTCACTGCGGTGGTGGCCCCGGCTGCCCGCCGGCCGATGGCCGTCGTGCTTGATATTCTGCAGCAGAGCGAGCAAGACGGTCCCCAGCTAGAGTGTTTCATTGTCACCTTTTGAGCGCTTTGCGCAGTGGGTTCCTCCCTCACGTCGGATTTGATGTAACGGTGTTTCGTTTGAAAGAACATGTGGCCAACTTTGTATTAACCACCGCTTGTTCTCTTTCGTGATGGGGAACCCATTGCGCAAAGCGGTCAAAAGTTGAGAATGAAACACCCTATCCCCAGCCTCTTCACACCCAAGTTACAGGGATTTGTCATCAATACATCAATATGACATCAAATTTTGGTCGATTTTGTTTTGGTCACTATGATGTGTTTTCCATTGAAGAACATGACTATTTTTTGATGTCAAAATGACATCATAGTGATAACACGGAAGTTTTAAGCAAATAATATTGCTGGCCACGTTGCAGGTCCTTGCCGCACTCTGCTTGATGGTCTCCATCTACTCTCTCAGCTTCCCAGGTAGAACACAAGCGTCAAAAAATATTGAATGACCCTTACTTGACGTCAAAATGAGCTCAACCTGGCTACCTAGTCGCAGTAAATCTTAACGATGAGCGTCAAAGTGAGGTCATTGTGACATCATTTTGACAAACGTGTTCTACCTGGGTTTGCACCGCCAGAATTTGCCATGAAATACTATCTGCAAGTGGGATTCGAACCCACGATCTTTCAATCCCAGTGGTGACTTGCTAACCCCTGAGCTACATGTGGATCTGTATGGCATTGGCTTACGTGCTCCTAATGGTTTAAACTCATGTTTACATCAGCTGACGTCATATTGACGTTAACATGACAATTTCTATCATTATGCAAAACGGTCAAAAATTTGTCACGTCTATAAGTTGTCAATTTCAAGTCACCATGTACCTGCTGTGGTCTGTTTGATAAAAAAAAAATTGTCAATATTATGTCAGTTTGATGTATTCTTAACTGATTTCTGTTACTTTCGGCCCTGGCTGAATATAGAAGGGTGCGCTGGCGAACTAGCGACCAACAGGAAAACTCGACAACCCCACATCATCTGTATATCAAATCTCGACCTGCCTCGTTGGCGGTCCACTTGTCCGCCCCCGCCCCCGCTGCCACCGCCACCCCTCCGTGCTGAAGCTGAGACTCGGCGGCACTTATTGCCGTGGTGGGAGGGGGGGGGGGGGCACCACTCGCTGCCGCCCAGCAACAGGGCCGCCGCCAGGGGTGGAAGCCGCCCCCGCCCCCGCCCCGCCTGGACGTGCTGTTGCATTAGGGCGTATACCGACGCATTTGCAAAGTGGTTCTGCCGTCGCGGGAGCGGGGAAGCAGGCGATGGCGGGCAGCCCGGGCGCGTCTGTGCGGACAAGACTGTGTTTGCTTGTTTGCGTTCGACGCCGAGAACCGCGCACTCACCGAACCGCATAGCACCGCGCCGCGCTGCGCCGCCCGGGCGGCAGGCAGCCCAGCGTGCACAGGCGGCCGGGCGGTGGCGGCCCCACCCGGCGGTGCTCTCGCCTGACCTACTTTTCTCTGCTTGCAGGCGGGTCGCCGTGCGCACGGACGGGGCGACGCTGCCCCGACCCCGCGGTGCCCGACGGGGAGCCTGTCCCAGGCGCACACTCCTCTCTAGACGGCGACGACTTCCGGCTCGTGTTCATCAGCAGCGACTCGAGCTCGCGCGACGAGGATGAGCCCCGGTCCGACGAGGATGACGACGACGACGATGACGTGGGCGACTGCCTGTCCACCTCGTCCGGCGGCGTTGGCGTGACCCTGGACGACTGCGACTGGGACTACTTCGAGCCGGCCGTGGCCGCGAGGGACGACTCGTCGCCCATGTCGACGCCCACGCCCATCGCCGCGGCCCGGCGCCACCGCCACGCCAGGGCCTTCCTGGACGGGTCACCCTCGTCATCGGACTGCTCGAGCAGCGGCTGGGCCCCACGCCGCGGCCTGGGGCTGCAGGACTGGCTGGCGGGGCTGGGGCCTCCGGGCGGCGACCCCCACCAGGGCGGCCACCAGGGCGCCGTCGCCACCGCAGGGAAGGGGGTCAAGGCGCTGCTTGGAAACCCTGGTTCCGGATGCTGCCGCTCGCCGCAGCACAGTCGCCGGTCCAGCAGCCGTCCGGAGGCTGTGCAGGCTGCGGGGCCGGCGGGGCGGGGCGGGGAGGCGGCGCGCAGTGGTCCGGCTGGACCAATACCCGGCCCGATCCAGCCTGCAGTCGTGGCTGGTGCAGGCTCCGGGCCCTGCGCGTCGTGCGGCTCCATCGTGCCCATCCTCGTGCCCATCCCAGTGCCCGTGCCCGTGCTCGTGCCCGTGCACTCAGTGCCCAGCACCCTCCATGCCGTCCAGGCTGACGTCACCGCCGCCGCCACCATGAGGCCGCACTCGGGGGCGGCCCAGCCCGGGGGCGGCGGCCGCCGGCGCAAAGGCGGGCGTGCGCGGCGCTCCAAGGGCTCGCCTACCCCCGCGCGCCCCGCCCCCGGCGCTCCCGCGGCTGCGGCCGCCGGCGCCGAGGGCGGCCGGAGAGTGTCGCGGACCTCCAGCGTCGCCGAGGAGGACGACAACGGCGTGGTGCTGGTCACCTACCGCCAGATTAAGGACGACGCGAAGCAGGCTGACGCCCACCCTGACGACGTCTGCGGAAGCGCCGACCAGACCGACGACGCCCACCAAATTGCGGGCCGAGTTGATGACAAGCATGACACTAAGTTGCACCCTGACGGAGCAGACGACGCCAGCCAGGCGGAACCGATTAAGGAGACGGATCCCGCGGGAAGGGAACAAGAAGAGAAAAATGAAGGGGAAGAAGATGTAGGGAAGAGTTCTTGTGCCTCAACGTCGTACTCGGACGAGGACACCAACGTGGACTTTGACAGCGAGGACGAAGACTCCAACGACGAGGAGGTGTCGAGGACGTACCGCCTCCGGGACGGGATCACGCTCAAGCAGGGCCTCCGGCAGGACGACACGACCAGCTGCAGCCGCAGCAGCAGCAGCGCCAGCGGCGAGCCGCACCCGCACGAGGAGGACTCGGACTGCCAGCAGCCCTTCCGCCGCGTGTTCGTGGTCAACTCCTCGCCGTCGCCGTCGCCCACGCCCGCGGATGACGTCACCCGGACAACAGCAACGGCGGAGGAGCCGGGCGACGCACCTCGCGGCAAAGCGACGTTATCTGTGAGTCCCGCGGGCGATAGCCGGCCTCGCGCGGACAGGTGCGCGGCGCCGCGGCCCCGCGAGGCCCCCCCGCCGCCGCCGCCGGCCGCCCCCGCGCCCCCCGCGATCCCCGCCACCGGCGACACGTCACAGGTACCCAGCGTCGCCTGCTGTGCCGAGGCCGGCCAGGCCGCAGTGACTGCCGGCGCCGCGTCGAGCGAGGCGGATCAGCCTACCGGGGGCCCGAGGACGTCGTACGCCGCGGTTGTGTCGCGCGTCAAGGAGGCTGGCGATGTGTCTCCGGGGCTCTCTGACGTGGAGCAGCCAGAGCCCCAGGACGGCATGACGTCGACGGAGAAGCCGGCATGCCCCCCCTCTGCGACAGAGGGCGAGGCGGACATGTTCGGCGCGGACCAGGGCGGCGGTGAAGCAGCCGCCGTGGCCGCCATCAACAAGGAGGTGATCGGGCAGGTGAGCCCGGACGAGCTCGCCTCGCTGGGCGGCAACGTCGAGTGCCTCAGCGTGATCGAGACTGCGCCCGTCGCGCTCAAGGACATCCTGCGCGACGAGTCGCTCCACCCGGAGGCAGAGGCGCAGCAGGTGCGCAGCCGCAGGAGCAGCGCCGCCAGCACCGCTAGCAGCCACCAGGACCTGGGCGACGGCGAGTTCTCCGGCACCGAGTCAATGGAACTATCGCCATCCGGAGATCGAGACCTGGAAGGCGAGCAGCAAGAGCACAAGCAGCGGCGGCAGCCGCTCGGGGCCGCGGAGGCAGCGGAGCGCGCCGGGGCAGCCGGGGCCGCGGGTGAGGGGGGCGGGGAGGCGAGTGGCGGGTCCGTTAGTCCGCTCGCTGCGCTCGCGGCCGCGGCCGGCCCTGAGCCGTCGGCGCGCGCTCAGCCAGCTCCAGGTGAGGAGGAGCCAGTCGCCCGCCGAGCGCCGCCCGACGATGAGGTCTGCGTCCCCCTCAAGTACACCAGCCTGGTGATGATCACGCCCCCCGAGTCTCCCGTGAGTGTGAGCGTGGGGCCGCCCCGGTCCCCCGCCGTCACGTTGCTGCACACCAACTTCGAGGAGGTGGAGCAGGCCGAGGCCGGCGAAGAGGCCGCCTTCGAAGAAGATACAGACGAGGACGACGACGACGATGAAGACGACGAGGGCCTCGCGCCGATGCCGGTGCCCAGGAGGACGCGGCCGAGCGACGAGGACGTGCAGGTGGTGACGGGCGGTCAGACCCTTTCTGCCGTCATCTGCTTGGAGGAAGGGCTGGCCGACGACGACTCGTGGGTCGAGGAGGTAGAGCCCGACCGGGACGCGGACCTGGACATGGAGGCCACCGCCACGGACACCAGCTCGGGCGACGAGGGCGTGGAGGGCGCGGCCGTGGACCGCGAGGAGGAGCTCCGCGGCTACCACCGGGCCGCCATCGACTTCACCCTGCACACCATCCTGGAGGAGTCGTGCGAGGAGAGCGAGACAGACCAGCGCACTCCCCCTCGCCCCCGCGCGCCCGCCTCCTCGGAGCTGGAGAAGTACTTCTTCTTCGACCTGGGTGGCGGGGCGAACGGCCTCGTGCAGCAGGATGCCATGTCCGAGACCAACAGCTCCATCTACAGCGAGGGCCTCGAGTCGCTGGGCGCCGAGGACGGATATCCCGAGGAGGACCACCCCCAGGACCAGGCCGACCCCGCTGAGCTCGCATCGTCACGCTTGGAGAAGTACTTCCTGTCCGGGTTCATGGGCTTCCCGGGGAGCAGTCGTCGGGACTCAGACGGCAGCGTGGGCTCTGACAGCGAGGGGCGTCCCAGTCCGGAGCAGCGGCGCAAGCGGCTGGTGAGGGCGAGGGGCACGGGCCGGCCAGCGCACCAGGACGCCCAGGCCGCGCCGGCGCCCTCGCAGCCCGCGCAGCCCGCCGAGGCCGCGGCCGAGGACGTGGCCGAGGAGGCCAGTGGCTCGGAGGCCAGCACCACCGAGGACGAGGCGGGCGCACCCGAGGAGCCCGCCCTGGCCGTGGACGGCCAGTTCGACACCGTCAAGCGCAAGAAGAGAAAGCGTTCCGTGGGGAGCGCGCCCGGCCTCAACACGTCCACGCCGGCCTCGGGCGCCGGGCCCGGGTCCGCGCCGGCCTCCTCCGACGAGCGGGACGTGTGCGTGTCGCCAGCGCCCGCCGGCCAGGACCTCGGCGCGGGCCTCGCCGCCTCCAGGAACAAGCAGCACAGCAGGGACAGTGGCTTCGTGGGCAGCTGTGACGATCTCCTGAACAAGAGCGCCAGCGACTCCAGCTCGAGCAGCGGCGCCGTCAGCCCGGCCGACCCCTGCCCGGGCCCTTGCCCCGTGGTGCCCGAGGTGCTCGACGAGGAGGCCGCCGCGGAGGCCGCGGCCCCCGCCACCCCGGTGGCCGTGGCCGCCTCCCACCGCACCACCACGCCGCCCGCCACCTCGCTGACCCGCAGGGACAGCTTCAACAACTGGAGCTCGGACGAGGAGACGAATCTCATGATGTCCAAGATGAGGGCCTTCTTCAAGAACATGACGGCGCCCACACAGGCGCCGCCGCCCGCGCCCGCCCCGGCGGCCACGCCCGAGCGCGCGCAGCAGGGTGCGCCCGCGCCCCAGCGCCGCAAGCCTCCCCAGCTCGTGTACTTCGAGTCGGAGCTGACGCGCCTCATGAAGACTGTCCCGGGCATCCGCGACGAGCAGGTGCGCGAGCTCGTCGAGTACCTCAGCTCGGAGGACACGTGGAGCGACTCGTACGACTCGTCGGACTACACGTCGTCGGACCTGGAGGGCGCGGCCGGCCAGAGCTGCAAGCGCGCCCTGCAGGAGCAGATCTCGGCCAGCTGCCAGCAGATCATCACCAACTTCGACACGGCCTCGGACACGACGGCGAGGCCCGAGGACGACGTGGTGTACCAGCGCCTCATGGCGTCGCTGTCTCGGATGGACGACAAGGCGGGCGCCGTGCCGCGGGCCGCCCCCGCCGCGCCCCAGGCCTCGCCGCCCATCTTCGCCAAGGTCATGCAGCACATCGGCGGCCGCCTGGTCGCCCTGATGCACGAGGTGTCCGGTGGCCAGGGCGGCCCCGGCGGCCCCCCGGGAGGTCCGCGCGAGAGATACGTCCACCGGTGAGTGTGTGTGTGTGTGCATGCGTGTGTTGTGATGAGTCAGCCCCCCCGAGTACGCACGCGCGGTGCTGCCGCGGGCCGTGTGACGCGAGCGTCGGGTACCCCCCCCCATCACAACCTACTCGCCGGTCAGCACACCAGTTCTAGTGTAGATGCCCGCCCATGCGGTTCGCTCTGCACAGCACAGCACTCAGCAGCATGTCCCCCGAGGGGTACACCACTCTTAAAAGTAGGTGTACGCGATTAAAAAAGTCAAGAAAAAAGTCAAGATAAAGTCAAAAAGTCATTTGAAAAGTCAAA